CGGAATATATCATATGTTTCACTTAATTTCTTAAAACATGATGCAAATATGTCTTTCTTATTGAAAGCTTTCAGCTGTTTTTATCTGTAGACTATATGCTTAGATTTGTATCGTAAATGATGAATACAATTATGAATCTGAAGGTTGGTTGGTTACAAGATCAATTTTTTCTTGAGAAATCAATTGTTTTCTTTTCGATGTTTCGAATTCAATTAAATTATTCTCCAGGGCTCAAAAAGTAGTTTATTCGAGTTGACAATATTACTATTTCAAAAACCATCAGACATATGAGATACATATTAAAAACAAATAAAAAACATTGAAACAACCAAACGACATGAAATAAACTATTTTTCGAGCCCTGGAGAAGAATTTATTTAAATTCAAAACGTTGGCAAGAAAACAATTTTTTTTAAGAAAAGGTTGATCCTATTATCCAACCAACCTTCTTCATAAAAATTATTGGATCACTAAACTAGTTAACACAATTATGAATTATTATCAGTTCTGATGAAACCGTTCACAAATGTGGTTATGTGGTAGCCATATAAGTATTTTCCTTCTAATATCTATTACAGTTGGGCCAATGAATGGTTACACATGCGTCATTAATTGGTGCGTCCATAAGAAGTGGCTACTGCTCCAATCAACCTAACTTCTGAATGAAGAATTGATCTTATTTTTGAAATTCACTGAAATATAATCCCGTGTTAGTATTTCGAGTCAAATGAACCAACATTCTATTATCTGCGATATCTGGCAACTCAATATTCCAATATACGTTTATTAAACAAAGCCATTACTAATTTGAAGTTGGAATCCATAATTACGATATGAAAATTACATTTTTTGTATAAAGATGGAGAAGTGGAAAGCCAAAACCTCTCTATCGCGGAAATTACATATTATCAGTTGTGAAAAATAACTATATGTGATTTAAAAAAAATTAAAACCATAGAAACCTTTCAATTAACATTCAAATGTAAAACAATATTAATACGTTATAAGAAAAGACCGACGACTCACGTTTGTATAGCTATCTTTTCTTGAAGTATCATCCAAACAAAAGCTATCTCTCTCTAATTGAACGTTTTCTGTTTTTCGCTAGCAGAAGAAAAGGAGGTTATGTTATATTTAAATGTGTACCTATAATAGCTATACAATATATAGTTTTTGTGTCATTGATGACACACGTGTACTCTTTCCATTCCTCAACTAATGTCCTTCTGATGTCTACTACATTCTTACTACCGATTCGAATGAAATTTTAGTTTCTTGTGTTAACGAGAAGTCCGAACACAAAACACTTGTGAATTGACGAACTGATATCAAGTTTCATTTTCTGAAATTTTCCGTTCAACGAAAAACTACTCCTATAGCACTATCCAGGTTAAGATGTCATTTCACCCGGCCTATATGTAGCGTTTCGAGGAATAGCGTGGATGCTGGAAGAAATAAAGATGAAAACATTGCAGGTTTTATTGCGGTATTGATTATAAAATCAATAAAATATGGCCAGGCAAAACGAAACGGGAAAAATATAGCTGATTCACACAACTGTATATTTATTCTATGGGAATTAAAATGTTCATGCGCAGCTCTATAACCTCCTATCTACCCGCGAAGAATGTAATGATTTTTTGGGGGTAAATTGGTGGAGAAGGGTGACAGGGGAGCCCTCATTAGCATAGGCGGCGGCAATTAAAAATAGCCAACCCTCGCAACTATACAATCGGGCGCTGAAAAATATTCTAATTCTCCCGGCGGATCGATAGAGGTCTCAATTAGAAAAATGTTTTAATGTCATTGACTTGAAAAAAAGAGGTTGTCAATTCGTGAAATATCAATGAAACTGCAATATTTTCACTTGAAATACCATCAGTGCTTACGTCATAAGTC